CTCCAGGCAGCTTTCCAGCCACTCCTCTCCCTACATATGGTAGCCCTATGTTTGACACAGGAGGAATGTAGGGGAGAAGTGCTTGACACTGACACATATAGCGACATAGTGACCCCTATTTTCAGCTGGGAGGTGGCAATAATAGCGCTGAGACTTCCAGACCTACTACCTCCCAACTGAAATATAGGATTGTTTGCATCCTAATCTGGTCATTTGATGAGTCTGGAACCCAAGTCAAATAATGGCACACACAAGAATATTGCAAAGAAACCCGTTTATGGTGAAAAGGGACAAACTCAGACTGTATATTTCACAGACTGAATGATATGTAGGTTGCTATCAAAAGCAAAATTTTGTCCATTCCTGCCTGGTTTATCTAAAGATTTCTAAGGAACTTCTTTACTTTTTAACTATTGGTTGAAGTGGTTGTCTGAAATCTTTTATGTAAATTAGGAAAGCAGTTTCTGTTACTTGTGATCTGTAAGTATTTAGTAAGTCAGCCATGTTAGCATTGGAGCTAGACTAATTACCTTTTTTGCATAAGTTAATTCGTATAACTTGTCATTTCTATGACAAGTTACATTTCTAGAAATCCTTGTAAACTGACCAATGTTTTTGCTGTGTACATTTTGTGAATCACAGTTTGTGGAAACAAATGTCATCTATAGACTATTAACAAAATGTTTGTTCATATTATTTGGAATTTGTGGTTTGAAGATTGTTCTCTTCTATTATTTTGTTTCTTGACTTGAAGATTTTTAGCAGCAGAACTAGCAGGGAGTAATGAATAATCTTGTTTATGGGTGAATACTCTCCCAGTCAGCCAGGCAAAGAACAGACATTATTCTAAAAAATAATGAAAAATCTGGTACAAATTATAAAAAAGAGCAAAGAACACAGGAATGTAGCAGTGACTGACTTATACAGTGACTTGGAATTTTTACTAATATTTCCAGTGACTTGTTCTACATTACTGGTTCAAATTATTATAGGTACTGCAGAAGTAGCCATTGGTTACCAGAAAAAATGTGTGGCAGTTCCTTCAGTGTGTTAGTAACTTTAGAATTATGTGGAATATCTAATGGAATATCCATTACAATTATTTAGTCGGTACTTAACAGAGAGGTAAGACTAATGTTTCAGAATTTACACACTATTGAAACTTTTCTTCTGAGAATGTTTAAACATAATGTCTTGAATCTGCAGTCTACATAGATTTTAGGTAAATTTGGGTGTATACTGTAGCATTCATTCAAAATGTATTAGCTTGGAACAAACATTGGCTGTTGAGTTTATATTTGATAACATGATCTGATGGAAAAGAAATGAGAAGTTGCATGATGTGAAAAAAGTTTGCAAGAATTTTCTTGTGAATATATTTTAAAACAGAAGAAGTTATGTGCAATCTAGGCTGATTGAAAAAAACCTCAGATTTTGGTTTTAAATAACATACGCTTGGTGTCTTTCAAATATAGGTTTAACCACAAAGTTGAGTTCTTCATACTTGGCAATGCCAGGAGATGAGTAGGATGAGCTAGTTAAGTTTAACATTGTTCACATCTGTTATTGATAGTGAATATACTGGTGACTTCTGAGATATTACAGTGACAAGAAACTACTAACACTGCCTAGAATTGTTCAAATAGTAAGAAAAGTAGAGATGTTTCCATCAGTGACTCTAATTAGAATATAATTTTGTCTATGTGTTTTACACTCT